TCTTGAATTTCTGGCCTAAAGCCATCTTTCTGCGTTGGTCTCCAAGGGTGGTAGGATTGCAGGTGTGAGCCACTGCACCCGGCAATAAATTTTTTTACTTTTAAATGATTTTTTTATTATTATTTTTTTATTTTATTTTTTTAATTTTTTATTATTTTTATTTTTATTTACTTTTTTTTACTTTTAAATGATTTTTGTGTCTTGATATTTAAAGTGGGTTGTTTGTAGGCAGCTTTATATGTGGATGTTGCTTTTTAAAATCCAATTTTATAATCTCTGCCTTTTAATTGGGGTGTTTAGACTATTAATATTGAATGTGATTATTGATATGGTTGAATTTACATCTACCATCTTGCTATTTGTTTTCAGTCTGTCCTGTGTTCTTTGTTCCCCTATCCCCTTTTTCTGCCTTCTTTGGGGTTGAGTAATTTTTATGATTCAATTTTGTTTCCTTTGCTGGCTTATTAGCTATAACACGTTTTTCAGTGGTTGCTTTAAGATATGTAGTATACATATTTAATTTATCACAGTCTGTCTTCAAGTGGTATTATACCACTTTAATGTAAGAACTTAGAAATAGTATACTTTCCTTCCTCCCTCCTAGATTTTATACTGTTGTTGTCACGCATTTCACCTCTATATATATTATAAATCTCACAATACATTGTTATTATTTTTGCTTTAAATAGTCAGTTATCTTGTAAGGAAATTAAAACTATAATATCTGAGATTAAAAGTACACCGAATGGGAATGTAAGAAGATTAGATGCTGCAGAAGAAAGACCAGTGAACTTGAAGACACAGCAATAGAAGCTATCCCAAATAAACCAGAGAGAGAGAGAGGGAAGAAAAAAAAAAACAAAAAAAAAAACTGGTGGGAAGAATGAATTACCAGAGAACTGTGGAACACCTTCAAGCACTCTTATATGAAGTCCCAAAAGGAAAGGAGAAAGAATATTTTCTCTGTTCCTTTTTCTTTCTCCTATTGTAGTTTTTTCTTCTCTAGAAGTTTGATTTGTGTCTTTTTGTATATCTTCTGTGTCTCTACTTAACATGTTCAATCTTTCTTTTAGCTTTTTGAACTTATGTGGTTATAGGAATTGTTTTAATGTCCTTGCTTGCTGATTTTATTATCTGTATAATTTCTAGGTCTGTTTCTATTGATTGTTTTCCTTATTATGTTTCATATTTTCTTGCTCTTTTGTATGTCTATTTGATTGGCTGTCATGTGAATTATACCTTGTTGGGTGCTGGATATTTCTATATTTCTATAAATATTCTTGATACTGTTTTGGGACACTTAAGTTACTTGGGAACAGTTTGATCCTTTAAACTTTGATCTTTTTTTTTTTTTTTTTTTTGAGACAGAGTCTCACTTTGTTGCCCAGGCTAGAGTGAGTGCCGTGGCGTCAGCCTGGCTCACAGCAACCTCAATCTCCGGGGCTCAGCGATCCTACTGCCTCAGCCTCCCAAGTAGCTGGGACTACAGGGCATGCGCCACCATGCCCGGCTAATTTTTTGTATATATATTTTTAGCTGGTCAATTAATTTATTTCTATTTTTGGTAGAGACGGGGTCTCGCTCAGGCTGGTTTCGAACTCCTGACCTTGAGCAATCCGCCCGCCTCGGCCTCCCAAAGTGCTAGGATTACAGGCGTGAGCCACCACGCCCGGCCCTAAACTTTGATCTTTTAAGCTTTATTAGCTGGGAGCAGAACGGCCTTTAGAGCAGGCCTAATTTTTCTTCACTGCTGAGGCAATGTCCTCTCTGATATCCTCTACTGATGTCCTGTGAATTGTGAGGTTTCCACTGTGGCAGGTGGGGACAAACACTATTTCTGCCTCCATTTGAGGTCCTGGGGTTGTTCCCCTGTAGTCCTGATTGGTGCTGATCAGTACTAGCTGAGAACTGGAGGGCCCTCTGCAGGTTTCTGGGGTTCTCTTTGTAGTTCCCTCCTCTGTGGTACTCTGTCTTGTGAATTCTGAACCTTGGCTTCCCTAGACTCTGAGTCCCTCTCCTCGACTCCCTGTGCCATGGCCTGGAGACCCTCTAGGCAGTAAGTTGGGTCAACTGTAGAGCTCACCATGTTTGTTTCCCCCATCAGGGCTCACTCTTCTGTGCTGTCCATGCCCAGTGTTTGAAAACTATTGTTTCACTTATTTTGCTTGGCTTTGTCTGGCTTTGAGGTTGTTTGAGGCAGGAGAGTAAATCTGGTGCCTGTTCCTCTGTGTTGGCCAAAAGTGGCAGTCCCTGTTCAGTAAGCACTCGTTGGGTGCCTCGGGTGTGCTCAGCGTTGACCTTGGTGCTGGGGTGTAGAAGTGAATGAGACATGGGCTGTGCCCTTTGGGAGCCACATTCTTGCCCAGAAACAGGCTGATTCCTAAATAATAAATGCCGTGTGGTGTTTACAGAGTACCATAGGAAGGCAGGGTGAATTCTTTGAGAGGAAGGAGCAAGGAAAGCTCCAGAGTTGCTGACATTTGAGGGATGAGCAGGCACTTTCTAGATGGGGGAGGTGTGGGAAAGCACATTCCAGGCAGGGGGAGCAGCAGGAGCAAAGGCAAGGAGGTGTTTGCCCTGAGCTCCTTAAAGGGCAGGATTCCTGACCTACTGATCTTTATCGATCGGTATTTGAAAAGTGACTGGAGTATGTTTTTTGTTCTGGGAATAGAAGGCAGAACAGGGGTTGGATTGGGGTGAGCAGCCCTTGGAGAAGGGGAGTTGGGGGGGGGTCAGCTGATATAGCTAGCGCCTTGTATACCGAGCCAAGGAGTACAAGATTGTGAATGTAATACCTAAGTACTGGGGAGCCATGGAAGGTGTTAAAGCAGGGCCCTGAGAGCTCGGATTGACTGGGTTCTCTAGAGGTTACTGGGGTGTGTGGAGGAGAGCTGGAGAGGGCCTGTTAGAAGCCAGCGGGCAGCTGCTGATGAGGCTGGCTCAGGGCATACATTCTGCACCAGGAGGAAAATGAGTCCAGAGCTCAGTGCAGCTGCTGATACAGCATTGCCACCTTTTACCTGTTTGATAATGGTCTTCATGGATTCCTGGCTGGGACCAGAGTAGATATGAGGGGGCTCTGGCTTGGTTTCTCTCTTTCTGTGGCTGTACTATTACTCTCAACACACCTGTCTGCCTGTTTATGATTCTGCTGGACCCACAAGTTCACTGGGTCAGGCTTACCACTGGCAGGGGTAGGGTGTGCAGCTACCCCACCTTACTGATGGCCAAACATCAGTGAGGACAGAGTCTCATCACCTTGGGCTTTGAACAGACACACCTTGGGTGACCTGTGCACACTCCTAGATGTTTGTCTTGAGTGTACCTTTGCCTTGGCCTTCATCTTGATCCTTCCTTAATTGAATCTGCTTGCTCAGCTTGCTCTGTGCAGATTAGAAGTGTGGGGAGGGGAAAGACAGCTGCAGATTGAAATCCTTTCTGAGCTCTGAAGTGTCAGGACAAAGGAGAAACAAATGGGAGTTTGGTGTGAAGTTGTTGAGGATGTTTTTCTTCTGAAGTCAGAGCTGTGAGCCAAAGAAGGAAGAGGCCGCCACGTGGCTGGGCTTTACTGTCAGGAAGTTTCAAGAACAGGCCGCTTATTAAATCACTTGTTTCTTGGCCATCATGTTGATTGATGCTGAACGCTATTGATCCGATTACATCCGGCCATTGTTGTTGGGTTGCTCTGTTGCCTGCTGCCGTCTCTGGAGAAATCTTAGGTTCTGTCTCCTCAGAGTCCTCAGGGAAAGTGCCTGAGTTGCAGAGGTAAGAATGGACTGATGCATGAGCTCAGCCATGGTGATAAAAACCACCACTATTTATTGATCCCTGCGTGAGAGTCAGATGTTAGACTTTCTAGGCACTAACTCAGTTCATACATGTGAAAGCCCTGTCTTACAGAAGAAACTGAGGCACAGAGAAGTTAAATCACTCACCCAAGCTCCTCAGCTAGTACGTGACTGAGAGCGCAGGGCTTCTGCCTTGCAGATTCTGAGCCTTTAATTGCAGGTCTGCCCTGCAGCGCAGAGGTGAAGGAGGCGAGGCGCTGCTCCTGGTGCTGCTGGGGGCTCCGGGCCCTGTGCCCCGGCCGAGGAGTTTGCACTGAGCCTGAGGGCCGGTAAGGGAGAGGAGTTCCTGCTCTGGCACTGGTCGAGGACGGCATTAGGCTGGGTTCCTCACATAGTGTAAGTCCTGCTCTTTAGCAATGTAGTTGAAAGACATCAGTAATAACGTCTATTTATTTAGTCCCCATGGATGTGGACTTGACTGAGAGGCGGCCTTGTGGGGAAGCTCAGGGACCCCAAAGCCAGGTGCCCCGGCTGGAATTCAGGCTCTGCCATTTCTTCCTTGTGAGGCTGAGCAGACACGAAGCTTCCTTTTGGCCCAGTTTTCTCCTCTGTGAGCTGAGGGAAACTCAAGGATGGACAGTGGCGTAGGCCCCTGGCAGGGATCACGTGAGTTGCCATGCACAGAGCACCTAGGACAGCGCTCTGCTCGGTGCACATGAGCCGTGGCCAGTGTCCTCCTCCTGTCCCACTGGCGGGTTGGTGAGGCGCAGGAGGGCAGCCTGGCAGAGGTGGTAAAGCCCCCCTCGCTCTGTGCTGCCAGGCAGACGTCACAGCTGAAAGGGAGTCGGAGAGGGACACTTGGGCAGGGGGTGGCGTGGGGTGGCAAGAGCTGGCACCACAGAGGTGAGGGGTTAGGGCAGTGGTGTTCAACCGGTGTTTTGCAAAGGTGCCTCACGGGCCACCTTGAGATCAGGAGGTCATGAGAGTAGAGCTGTCCCCTACCCCTTCGTACAGAGCGTGTCCTTTGTGATCTGTTTTGTATAGTGGGGTTTGGGGGAACGTTTTGCTTGAAAAAAGAAACTTCTCCTTTAAAAAATGTTGGAAGTGACAAGAGTTGGCTATGCTGAGAAAGTGAGCAAAGAGGACAGAGTCATCAAGTCGACTGGTCAGGCTGCTTACCTGCGCCTTCCTGATGGAAGGACAGGTGGGAGATACAGGGAGGAGGGGGGACAGGGAAGGCAGAGGGAGCCGGAAGTTGAGTGATAGGAAAAATTAATCCAGAGGTGCTGGTGGGATGGGTGTGAGCAGAGACAGTGGAGGCAGGGAGACTGGTTTGGAGCTTGCCACAGGGTGGGGATGGGTGCACTTAGGAAACTTTGCCATCCCCGAGTGCACCTGGCTAAATAAAACCTGGTGATTGGACATCCGGGTGAGGGAGACCCATGTGTCCCCGCTGACCTGGAAGATTGGAAGTGAGAGTGAGGAGCTGACGTCAGTGATGGAAGTGGAGATTGGGAGGAAGTCTGGTTTGGGGAGAGGAAAAGCTGATGAGTGGAGACGCGGGCATGTAGAGTCGGGATGCTAGAAAGAGGGGGAAAGGTAGAGGTTCATCAGGTTTGGGAGGAGTCCCCTTAGGGGTTGGGTCAGCCAAGGAAAGTGAGGAGCAGGGGCCCCTGGGAGTGGCTCGGGCCCTGCAGCTTGCCCTGTGCTGACACAGCACCCAGCCAGCCGGCTGGTTTAGCCCTTGGGGTGGAAAAGCCAATTTCCTGAAGTCTCCTGCCACTCCCGAGTGCCCCCCCCCCCACATTCGGGACAATGCACGGGCTCATCATTCCTGGGTCTTCTCACTCAGGGGCCCTGCCTCTGGGGGAGTCAGATGGAGTTTTTCAGTGGAACAAAAGGTTGTTATGTAAATATTTATGTAAAGGTGACAATTTGCTTTATAAAGTCTTATCATGAGAGATTGTACATTCCCCCGTAGATATATATATGTGCTTATATTTGAGACTTTTGTTCAGATTGGTTTGGAGCCTGTTTCAGAAAGCCACATTCTTTGCTTCCCTCTAGAATCAGCTCTTTCAGAGTCCTCTGGCCCCGGACCTGGGTGCCTGGCAAAGTTGGCAGACAGCCTTTTATAACAGTGCGTCGTGCAGGTGTGTGAATTAATAGTACCTGGTGCCTGCTGAAGGCCAGGCCTGCTGCTTGGTGGTTTTTCTTTTCTTTTCTTTTCTTTTTTTTTTTAATTTCAGCTTATTATGGGGTATAAATGTTAAGGTTACATATATTGCCCATGCATATATACCCCCCTGCTTGGTGGTTTTCTAGCTCCTCTAAATATTGTCTTGTTTAATTCTCATTAAATCCTTACATGATGTTGGTAGTATTAGCCCCATTTTACAAATGGGAAACAGAATGAGAAAGGCTAAATAATTTGCCCAAGGTTATATAGCTAGTGGGGATTTAGATGCTCTGATTTAGGGGCTCTGAAGCCCCTTCAGGAAGTCTTAACTGTTTAGCCCTGGTGAGTGGGGAGGGAGCTCCAACCCCCACCCCAGCAATTCCTAGGATAGAAAGAAAACCGTAAATGTCTCCCTTTCTGAGGCTTATGCACCATCTTTCCCAGTTATGGAGAAGGTCAGTTCAGTGGTGCTTTGAGTCCGGTGAGAAGAGTGCGATGATTGGATTTGTTTTTATTACATCCTGTGGGAAGTTAGGAAACTAAACATTCTGGCACTTGGGTGCATGGCTGGAATCATTCTGGGAAAAGAAAATTAGATCAGGTCAAAAAATATTTCCTCATTAAGCAGCAGGATTAGGAAGGTTTCTAAGGCAACAGCAGGTGTTTTCGACATGAGGGGTGGGATGGGGCCAGTTCCCTATAACACATGCAGATTGAACTTTGCAGGTTGCTATGGTAACAACTTCTTCTGATGCCATAGCTGGCTGTGGGGAATTTATAAGAAACCAAGGGACTTCACAACTCTCCTTGCAGTGTGATTTCAGGCTTGAAGTCACTGCAAGTGAGGGTTGGCTGGCACCTGTGCTGGGAGCCGACAGAGGCTGGGACACACCCTGCCTGATCAGAGGGCCCTGTTACAATTCAATAACATCAGTCATTTTGCTTGACTCGTTATTGCACCCCAGGGATTTCAGGAGTCACCCCTAATCATTAGATTACCCGAGAGGCAGAATAATTCACATCTGTTCAGTACTCAGGAGTTTGCAGGGCTCTTTCAGGGCTGTTTGATTTTCTGAGCCACACAGCAACCCTCAGGTGGGATTATCATCATGGTGCCCCATTTTCCAAGTAAGGAAACTGAGGTTAAAGGACTTGATCAAGGTCACACAGTTAAAGAGCTGTGAAGCCAGAGCACAAACCCAGGGCATCTGCCCCGAGATTCTGTGCTTTGCTGCTCCACATCCTGTGGGGGAGAGCTGGCATCAACTGCTTAGACCGAGGCAAGGAATGAGGGGTTCCGCAGGCTGGCTCTGTGACTGGCATGCCATACTCTGAGCTCAGCTCCCTCACTGCCTAGAAAATGCTGCATTTTGCATTCCAAATTTATTTTCTTTTTAAGAGTTATTTTTACAAGGGATTTCTGATCAGTTGAAACTATTCGTTTTTGAGTTGAACGATGAGGGGCAAAGATCCTCATTGAGCAAGAAATTGCTTTTTTTCCCTGATAAGGACATATCTGGAAGGCTGCCATGAGTTTGAACCCTTCCAGGCATCATCCTCCACCTCTATCGTCTGAGATTCTACAGCCTCCCCTGCTAGGGGACATGGCACTGCCTTTGGCCTAAATCCACTTTGGCCTGTGCTATCTTCCACTAGATCGTGTTCCCTGTGCTCAAGGCCTGTGGGATTGATTTAGTCAAAATACAAAGTAATGGAAAGAAGTTGAGACCAGAGATAAAAGCAGCAGGTGCCAGTAGGCCAAGGCTTCGCTGTCGCAGAGAGGAAGGGCCTGGCTGCACCCAAAAATGCTTCTTTCTTGGTTCTGATTGCAAAGCTCCAGGATATTAAGCCTATGCGCCCACCTCACCCCCACTTAGTGCTTTGTGACAGAAGGTGGGGCTCAGGATGCCTCTGGGGTGTCTTTGTCACCTCTCTCCTCCGTCCCCCCACTCTCTTTTCTGTGATCTGTCACCTTGCACGTGTCTCCCACAGAGGGTTTGGTGTTGATTTTGGGTTAAAAACTGACTGCAACTCATAGGTTTTGATGGCCGACCCAGAGTTTTTTACAACTTTGAGTTGGCTGTTGGAATCTAAAATGTGGAGATTCACCTAGATGTGGATTTCTAGCTTCCCCTGGGCGTTGCCTCCCATCCTCCCCTCCCCCAGGAGGGGACTGGAGTGCTGGCCTGGTGCTTGGCCTTTGACTCACAGGCCCGGCCCTTGTGGGCTGCTGGGGTTGTGCCTTCTGGTGGAGGTGAAAACTGCAGAGCAGACACAACTTTTTAAGAAAATAGGAAAAAACAAAAGCAAGCCTTTTCCCTTCTCAGGGGCACCCAGCGAGGCAACAGGGACACATTTTCTCTTCCTGGTGCGAGGAACACAGCCTAGCTCATGCATCACTTTCGCACCTTGTTCCCAGCCTGATCACCTTTGAGTTGATGCTGTTGCCCCAGAAAGAGGTGTTGTCTCGCTGTACCTGTGAGCCTGTGCAGCTGCCAGCTCACCCGTTCTCCCAGGCCTCGGATCTGCAGCGGCTCTCCATGGGCTCAGCTGCTCCCAGCCGAGAGCTGCCCACCCCCACTCCTCACTCCGCTGGTCCCCCTCCCTCTGTTAGGCCCTCTCACCTGTATGCACAGTTATTCGTTGTGAGGATTTTTTTTTTTTGCTTTATAAAACCAAACCGAGATACTTGAGAGTTAGGATCAGTTTTTACGTGTCAAGCCGGTGAGGCACGGTGAGAACCTTCTGCCTGAGTTTGTCCTTCCCCCCTCCGTGTGGGGCCTTGTTCTTGGCGCACACTAACTGTCAATATGTGTTCGGTCAGTAGAGGAGTGAAGAAATGGAGGGAGGCACGAATAAATGAAAGAAGGACCTGTCCTCACTTCCCTGTCTCACAGGACTCATCTGCTGGCTGGCTGCCACGTCTGTCCCTTCCACTCTCCCTCGATCACTCTTTGGGCAGCATTATTCCGAGCTGTCTGTGAGCCTGTCTGGCTGGGCACTGGGAAGACAAAGGTGAATAAGACATTCTCCTTGTCTTTGAGGGCCTTATTTCTTCACTCCTTCAACTCCTTCTCCTCCTGTTCCCCAACAGCAAATGCCAGATGTCACCAGAGCAGTCCCCACATCCTCCTGGGCAGGCTGGCAGTGGGAGGCGCCAGGCCAGGGCCCTGGTGCCGAGGGGCCTGGTAATTGGCCTTGACAGACCCTCCAGAAACAAAAGCCCTCGACTCTGGGTCCCTGGATGACGTCTCAGGAACCCTAGTTCTCTACTTGGAGATATCGCTGGTGGCTGTGGCCACTCCGAGAAGCACTGGTTTGGACTTTCCCCCATGCTGGGTCACTGGGAGCCAGAGGCTGCCAGCAGCCATTGCCCAGGTTTCAGTGGCCCCTTCTTAGTCTGCAGTTTTGTGGGCCCTTTGTGCAAAATCTTTCCTGTTCTCCCTCTTTTCCAAATTAGGGACCCAGAGAAGTGCTTGCTGCTTCCAACCTCCCAGGGTGGCTCGGAGGAGCAGCTGATGGCTCTGTGACTTGGGAGAGAAAGGCACTGGTAACTTCCAGGGCTGGGTGATGCTACAGTAAACCTTGCAAGATGGTACTTGCCTGCCCGGCCTGCGTTGCCGTGTGAGGGTGGAGGAGCCGCCCCGTCCTGGAGGCAGGGCAGGGAGGGGCCAGGGTAGGCAGCCTGCTTGGGTAGGCTCCTAATCTCCAGATCTCGGGCCTTGTATATAGCTAAACTCCTTATCTTTCTTCACTCTGTGGCGGACAGATCAGGTGGGGCAAAGGCCTCAGTGGAATGAAAACACCAGGGTGAGAAGGGACAGGGCCTCTGGTGGTTTGTCTCCCAAAAGCATATAGGACCTGGGGCAATACCCTTCCTGTTTCTTTCTGGGGCTTCATTTCATTTCTGAAATAGGGGGTAATTAAACCCTGTGCACACTTTATTTACTAGAGCGATTACATAAATTAATGAGAGAGTTTACAGAGGGCTTTGATCTCAGAAGAAAGGAACCATGTGAGTGTAAGGGTTTGTTTACCCATTTTATAGATGAGGAATATTGAGTCTCTAGAAAGAGAACGTTTGACCTCTGGCTGTTTGGCAAAGTTGGAGGTAGGGTGCTGAGCACACCTCATTCTGGAAGAAGGAGGGACATGTGTGTCTGGCGCGTGCCGGCAGTGCCTTCTGAAGCAGAGGAGAGGCAGTGGGCAGAAGAGGCCGAAGCTGAGTGGGACCAGCTGGGCCCTTCCCTGACTTGGCCTCCAGGTAGGGCGGGGACCCCTGGCCTGGCAGCCTGATGCTGTAGCAGGCACCGTCTTCACGTGACTCTCCCCGTGGGGTTGGGCTCTCCTGTGAGCCACAGCCCCGATGTTCTGCCTGTTGGTCTTGATAACGTGTTGGCGGACTCTGACACTGTGTCACTTGGCCATCCATACTGTCCTGGGATTGCAAATCTAGAGCTTAAATCTTGGTGTGAAAGACCCCTGTCTTGTACATCTACCTGAGTTCGCTTAGAGTGTTAGAGAAAGGGAGAAGGAAGAAAATAGAAGCCAAACTAGTTTTATCTGTGTAGTTTAGTTATAATGAAACCTTCATTAAAAATGATGCTAAGAACCCTGGATATTCTGAAGTTCTAGTCTGGAGGAGGACTTTGGACTCTGACTTTAAGCGAGGGTTCCAGGTGATGCTTGTGCACATGTTGGGAGACCTTGGGCAAGTTGCTTTACCTGTCCCGGCCTCCCCAGGGAGGTCGGGTGGTACTGATGCCGCTGTATAAGATAGTCTTGAGGGTCGTCGTGACGGCAGTTACTTATAGGGTGCTTACCATGTTCTAAGCACTGCTCTGTTTTACAGACGGGGAAACCGAGGCACAAAAGGTTAGATAACATAGCCAATAAGTGGCAGAGCTGGGATTCATACCCAGGCAGTCTGGCTCCAGAGGATATTCCATACCTGTAGGCTGGTAGCTCTCAAAGTGTGTTCCAGGGATCCCCGGGGGTCTCCGAAGACCCTTTTAGGCCACCTGTGATGTGAGGTTAGAGTGATTTTCATAATAATTCTAAGAAATTATTTTCCTTTTCACTCTCTTTCTTACATGAGTATACAGTGGAGTTTTCAGAGGCTAGCAACCTGGGATCATGTCATCGTTATGGTGGCTAATGGGATGTATGCTTGGGTATTCTTCTTGTGTTTGAAAAATTCCTCACTTTCAGTTTCTAAAGTGGTAAGTGCTGATACCTGTAATCGACATGAGCAAAAACTCTTTGAGGTCCTCAGTACTGTTGGGAGTGAAAGGGGTTCTGAGACCAAAAAGTTTGTGATCTGTTGTTCGAGGTTGTGTTGCCTTAAATGTGATACCTGTTGCGCACGTGGCCACACCGCCCATGGCATGCGGCCAGGGGAGAGTGGGTGCCCGTCCCAGGGAAGCTCGGCTCTGTGCAGGGCCCTGCCTGTGCCAGGAAGCCTCCCTGCGTGAGAGAGTGAGCACTGAACCTGCGGGGCGCTCTGGCCGACAGCACAGCGACCGCGCTGTTTGTGTGTGGTCAGCCAGCTGCCCACGCCGGGGCTCCCACCCTCCGCCTTGCCATGTCTGCTGTGCCCAGCCCTGACTGCAGGAGCCATTAGGCACTCTGCTCCATGGCAGGCTTCTCCCTGGTGGAGCTGCCGTGGCTCAGCAAGTTCTTGGCTGGGCCACGCCGGAGGACTTCGTGATAATAAGTAATTTCCATGCTGTTAGAATCTTGCGCCAGTGTGTGTTGCAGGCCAGGCCTCACACCAAGCCAGCACGTTGCCTGCCTTTTCTCACTGAACCTCACACCAACCCTGTAAGGGAGGTGCTATTGTTAGACCCATTTTACAGATGAAACACCTGAGGCTCGGAGAGGTTCCAGTTGTGTGAGGTCCCACAGCTGGCAAGTGGCAGGGCCTGGGCTCAGACGAGCTCTGCCTGTCTGCAGCCTGGGCGCCTCATACGTTCTGGTGTCTTCAGAACGTCACTCCTGCTGTGGCGGACTCACCTGTGTCTGTGGCGTGATGGCGTGTGTCTCCTGGAATTCCGGTCCACCCCAGAGCATTTGCAGTCTGCTGTTCCCTGGCTCCAGCTTTAGCCCAAGGGTGTTTGGAGCAGCGGGCTGAGGTGTGGGCAGAGTGCAGGTGTGAATTTTGGCTCTGCCATTTGCTTGCTGTGACCTCACTGACCTTTCTGGTCTCCCATCTGCATGTGGCACAGTTGCTGCTCCCTGGCCTCACGAGGAGAGAGAGTGCGGGGAACACTCACGTGGCAGGTGCTTAGAAACCAGTGGTTTCCATTGTGACACGACTGGCATGGAGCTAGTCTTTCTCAAAATCTGGCCCTGGACTAGCTGTATCAGCGTCTCCAGGACGCACCCTGAATTCTGGGCCCTCCCTCGACCTGCTGATACAGAGCTCTGTGGCTGGGGCTGGGCACCTGCGCTGTCAGCCAGCTTTCCCCAGGACCCAGGTGCACACTGAAGTGTGGCAATCCCTGCTCAGAGGTTGGGAGCGACATTCAACCCTCAGGATATGACAGATAGTGCTTGTGTGCCTGTCTGGATAGCCCTTTATCAGTAGGGTGGCCATATGATTTGTTGTTACAACCAGGGCGCTTCTGAGCGTGAAAGGGGACCCCCGAGGAGTTCACTGGACTTCCTGGCACACAAGAGCGCTTCGGCACTGTTTATCAGTTTCTTCTTTCATCTTTCGGACGGCCCCAGGAGATGCCATGCCCTTCCTGCTGGAGAGGGTTCCTTCCGTCCAAACATCTGTAACCCTGGCCCTTGATTCCAAAATGCCTGCGTGGCTGAGTCATCAGCGTTGGCTCACCCTAGCTGAGCACTGGTGCGGGAGGGTGTGGAGGACCCTCGATTTCTGTTGGAATCTTTTGAAAGCGTAACCTTTGCAATGGGCAAAGCCAACGTTAAAGCTATGAAACATACATCTAGAAAAGATAAGACCCAGATGAAAATGGAGGATTCTGTCAGCAGAAAGGAAGAGGTGTGGGTGTGTTTGTGTCTCCTCTCCTCAGTCCCTGGGGTTCCCTCCTGGGCCTGGCTGTGACCCGGCAGTCACACAGACGATCAATGGCCCTCTGGGCAGACGGACAGGGAGAGGACCCTGACACCAGCTCTCAGACAAAGCAGATGTCCTATTTGGGTCAGTCAATTTGTTTTCCTCCTGATTGCCTGAGAGGCCAATTGGGTGTTTTTTTTCCCCCATGCTCTCATAAGGACATTCATGTGACAGTCTGTTTTTGTGATGTGGAAAAGGCTGCAACTGCAGGGAATTCTTGAGGGAAGCCTGAGGTTATTACGTGCTAAATATAACCCACAGTGACACAGTTGAGCCTGTGTTGTCAGCCAGCAAAGCCCCTGTGCATGGGGTCGGGGTATTTCTGGTTCAGACAGAAATAGGCACCCGCCAGAGGGCAGGCTGGCATTAGCGCTTGCAGGCAACCTTGGGCCAAATTTAGTCTCTATCCCTGCTGCCTGGCTCTTCCTCCTGCCTTTTCCTGTCTGTTCCTTGGGGTGCTCCATCGGCACCTGAGGGACTGTGGTCATGCCTGCTGGCTGCCGAGCACTCTCACATACCCTTTCATTCCTGGTGTGGGTGGGAGGAGCAGGTCCTTGGTCTCCCTGGGGAGAGGGGTGGGCAGAGCCTCAGGACTGTGCTCCCTGGGACCCTTGCCTCCCTGGTCCTCCCTGTGGAGTGGTGTCATTGCAAAAAAGCCCAGTTTGTTTTTGATGAGTAGGACGTATGGGCTCAGGGGTCTCTTTTCCCAGACCTTCCCCTCCCTCACTTGGGTGGCGCTCTGTGTTCACAGGGCAAGATGGAGACGCTGAAGGACAAGACCCTGCAGGAGCTGGAGGAGATGCAGAATGACTCGGCGGTGATTGACCAGCTGGCCCTGGAGTCCTGTGAGGTAGAGGGAGGCCATTATGGGGCCCATCAAAGGCCAGCAGATGGGACTTTTTAAGAGGCCATCTGAAAGGATGCTGCTTGTTAGGAGCTTTGGCCAAATGCATCTCCCTTTTCTGTGGACATCACCCTGGTTTGGACCCGGCCAGAGGAGCCCCTGAGGTTTCAGGCCAGTCCTGGGTCCTCTGGGAGTTCTAGGCAGTGCGAGGGAGCCCAGGGCCCCTACGTGGACTCGGACTCCAGGCACTCCCCGGGGACCCAGGTGCCCCAGGAGTCTCTACACTGTCGTTCCAGCTGGAATCTGAGGCAGCTCCTCAAAGCACTGGTATGGCTTTTTAACCACCTTTCCCAAGGGCCTCATGTGACCCTGTATCTCCAGGTGATTCTGAGATGCCAGAAGCCATTCCTAGCTGAGATATAGCTCATCTCCTCTTTGATCTTGTTTCTTATTGTAACTGGTGCCTAATTCTCTCAGCTCCTGATCACAGAGTCCTCGTGGGAGTAACCGTCACCCTTGTGTCTGTACAGAGCTTTACACTTCATAAAGGACTTTCCCTGCCCTCCCCATCTCCTGTGACCCTGCGAGGTCAGCGACCAGATGTGGCCACATGGCTGGAAATGCCCTCAGTCACCCCTTGAGTGGCTGCAGCCCGCCCGTTGTTCTGGAAGCTCCCGCCTCGTGCCCCTGAGTTGGGGGAGACACACGAACACAAATAATGCCAAGCTCATTTGATTAGCGTTTGAAGTATACTTGTATTTTCACTGATGAACAGTGTGGTATGTCTCTTCTGTGAATTCACAGTATGTTAATAAAAAAAAAAAAAGCTCCCCAGCCAGCTTCCCCTCCCCTTCTCAGAGCACTTCCGGGCCCTAGGATGTCAGCACCAACATGTCCCCTGCAACTGTCCCTGCTTGTGCTCCGCCCCCCACCCGCCCCCTGCTACCCAAGTGGGGAATCTTTGCTGGCGTTGGAGTCAGCAGACGTTGGAGGTGGCTCCTGGTGGGCAGGATGTGAGCAGAGGTTTGAGGACTCTATGTGGAGTGTCCTGCTGCCCAAGGCTTTATGACTGTCCCCAGCTGAGCTTACCCAGCGAGGGTGTGAAGCAGAGCCTGTCTTGCTTACGCTCCAAGGCCACTCAGATGGTTACTTAGGCTGTGAGCTCTCTCGGGGCATTGCTCGCACCTGGCACAGGTGCTGGGTAGAGCGCAGGTCTTCATTCCATCATTTCCGTTCATTATATATTAAGCACCAAGTGTTTCTTGGTTCGGCTGTAAACACAGTGCCATGGGAAGCCGAAGGCCTGCTTCCAAAGTGCACAGCGCTGAGGAGGCCGATAGCATCTGTGATGGCGCATAGCTTCACAGGAAATGTAGCAGAAACCACCTTTTGGGCAAAAGGCAACTTGGCCTGCAGCCACACCTGCCCCATCAATTTGCAAATCGATTTGAGTCCTCTGAGGCAAAAAATACTCAAATGGATCAGGCAGGAGCGAAGCCTGGAGAGGTACTTATTCTTTCCAAAAACCTTTGACTAGCTTTCCCACCATGGGCTATAAAGCGAGGATTGAATCACTGTGGGATTGTGAGAAGAGAGAGGAGCTCCTTTAGTATGGGGCGTGGCCACCGCGTGGAGGGAAGAGCTGGCACGGCGGGGTGGGGGCAGGGCGGGTGCCATAACTGTCTTATTGACATCTTTTTAATGACTGGGAGGACTCCATAGCGAACTCCTGACGGATAAAGATTTTCTTATTGATACATAATATTTTACATATTTATGGGGTACCCGTGATGTTTTGTCCCATGTACAGAGTGTGTAATGATCAAGTCAGGGTATTTGGGGCATCCCTCACCTGGAGTATTTATCATTTCGGTGTGTTGAGAGCATTTCAAATCCTCTCTCCTGGCTCCTTTGAAATAAACAATACGTGTTGCTAACTGCCTCACCCTAGTCCACTGTCAGACACAAGAACTTACTCCTTCCATCTGAGTCTTGGTTTGTGCCCATTAACCCACCTTGTGAGAAAGGTTGGGGAGGCGGGGAGGGAGGCAGGGAGGGAGCAGAGTGGGAAGGGCAGGGTTTAGGGGAAGAGGACACAGCGTAGAGTTATTGGTAGGCGCATATGAGGGCTCTGCGGGGGGCGCCTGAGCAGGAAGGCTTCAGGCCTAACACACTGTGTCAGCCACGCGTGTAAAGAAAAACTGCCGTGGCTAATAGAAATTAGATTGAAACTCACCAATGTCTGTGTCCCTAAGTCAGCCTGCTTGTCCCGTGGCCGAAGAGGGTGTTGGTGGCAGGAAACCAGACAGCCCAGCTGTTGGGGCAGCTTGCCAGGACCCAGCAGGATGGGCTCTAGGCTGGACAGACCCTGGGTCCTGCAGTCCCCGAGCCTGGCAGTCCCGTCTATTGGGGACAGGCAGGGCACTGCGGCAGCCTCTTTCCAGTCTGGAGCAGGCTGGAGGTGCAGGCTGTGGGCCCGATCTGGAGCGCAGGACCTGAGCTGTGTGGCTGGGATGGGGAGGGCGGGCTGCCCTGGAAGCCCCTTCTTCCAGGATGCCCACGGGCTTCCTGTGCCTGGCGGCGGATAAAGGCCAGTCTGGCTTGGCCTGTCCCACGCTGCCCATGGTGGAGAAGCTGCATGGTGCAGGGCCAGCGGCTCGGGTTTGGTCTTGCCGAGCTGTGCCCTGCACCCTGTAAGCCCGTGCTGAGTCCTCTTCTGGTGCCACATGGTACTGTCAGTGTATTGTCACCGCTATCTCAGTGTCATGGGTCTGACTCTTCAGCCCTCCTTTCAGTAAAGAGGAGTTCTTGGCAAATGCACAGTGTCATGGGACAGCTGGACAGGGTTCTGTGGCTTCTGCAGCAGCAGAGAGCCCGGGCAGATGCTGCCCGTGGGAAGTGTTTTCAGCAGGTGCATCCCAGGCCACATCTGAGGTGGCCCATCTGTTGGCTCATCCTACAGCTTCTCAGAGGGACACCTGTGGCCTAGGAGGCAGGGACAAATCTCTTCTGAGTCGGTGTCATGGTCTGGTCCAGGGCCCTGGGTCTCTCACCCCTTGAAATAATTTTATTTGGGGGCCTTTTTGCACATCCAGGTCCACCACAGTAGGTCTCTTGATCCTGAAGCTTGGGGATAAGTGGTGGGGACTTCTGGTCCCTTCCTTCCTATAAAGCCTCCAACTTTGTTATGTAAAGTGAACCACCCCGTCTTTGGAGCTCTGCACACCCCATGTGGGCCTTAATCACGTGGCCTTGCATGAGCATTAACCTTCAGTGCCAGTTTGCCACGTGTGGGCACCTCCTGTGCTGATGGTCAGGGGTTAAGTGGGGCAGAGGCGCCTGGGGCAGAGTACTTTGCTCAGGGTTTGGACCCAGGTTTGTCTGACTGTAGTCGAAGGCCAAGTGTCACCCTGGCTTCCCCAAGGTGAGCGATGAGTCGCTGAAGCCCTTGGCCCAGCCTGCTGGAAGATGAGTGGTGGTGGAGGTTGTCCTGATGGTCTGTTGTCCTGCCCTTTAGGTCCAGGACCTGCAGCTGGCAAGGGAGATGGCACTGGCCACCAACCGGAGCCTGGCTGAGCAGAACCTGCAGTTCCAAGGCCCCCTGGAGGTCTCCCGCTCAGTGCTCTCTGACAAATACCAGGAGCTCTGGAAGCTTGTGGAGCGGTGCCAGGAGCAGAAGGCAAAGCTAGGTATGGTGGCCAGCCCTGGGAGTGCGCTCTTGGGAGGCCCCTGTGTTAACTCAGGGTCGGACTGGGCGGGGCAGCCGAAACAGCGGGAAGGGCAGATCCCCTCTCCTTCCCAGGAGGGGAAAGGGCCCATAGTTACTGAGGCTGGCTGTGTTCTGAGCTCAGCGCTAAGTGCTTTATGTACATTTTTTCGCAGCAGCTGTAAAAGGGTAGATACTGCTGTTATTCCCATTTTATAGATGAGAAAAGTGAGGTCTAGAGAGATTCAAGAACTTGGCTCAGGTTAACCAGCTGGAAGTAGGTGGAGTTGGGATTTGAACCCAGAGAGCCTGCTGCATCCTTTGCTGCTGCTGTTAACTCAGCCAGCTCAGCTTTGTGCTTTACAGAGCTGGTCCAGCTGTCTGTGTCCCAGGACTCGTCACCTGGGGAGGTGGGAGGGGCTGTCCTGGTCATGACAGTGAGGGAGCCTGGTACTCACACAGGTTAGGTAACTTTTCCCAGGCTCCGGGTCGGGTCAGTTGGACTCTGAAGCCTGGGCCTGTTCCTGTCCCAGGCTGGTGTAGGGGAGCCTGCTTGGCCAAGGTCTGGGGTGGGCTCAGTCAGGCTGAGTCTTCTCTGCTTAGAAAGGTGACCCAAGGGAACTGGACCGAAAGCACCCAATGGGCCTCCCTCCCCAAAGGGACTCTGCAGTAGACCCCAGGGGGGTGGCGGGACCTGGATGCACACAAAGGGCGTGCTAAGTGCCTTTCCTGAAATGTTGGCCTTCAACACTGAATCAGGAAGCACTTTTGAAATGTCAACCTTTCTGCCCTTCCTTCCAGAGAAATTTTCTTCAGCTCTGCAGCCAGGGGCGCTGTTAGACCTTCTGCAGATTGAAGGCATGAAGATTGAAGAGGAGTCTGAGGTGAGATGCCTCGTTGACCCCCGCCCCTCCTTGGACAGGCGTTGGTCCCTGGAGCAGGAGCCCTTGCGCGCGGCAGCAGATGTCTGCAAAGCATGAGACAAGGGAGCTTTTGTAAATGGCAAAAGTGAAGGGCACCTGTAGTTCCAGGAGAGGCCCTTTTGGATGCAAATAACAGGAACCCAGTCCCACTAGCTGAAGCAGAAGTGGGTGATGTGGGCAAGGCCCCGGGCAGCTTGCAGAGCAGGAGCCCCCAAGGGACTGGAGCCAGGCACCACCCGCATCCTCTCCCTGCCTCCTGCTTCCCTCTGGGGTCTCCAGTCTCCGGTCTGCCCAGTCCCTGGGCTAGTGTTCAGCCATGTGTGATGGGCACACATGTGCAGTGGCCACTGTGGGCCTGGCACGATGCCAGGGCGGGGGGGAAGTGACCATGACAGACATAGATCTCGCCCTCCAGGAGCTGACATTCCAGCTGGGGAGACGGTGCGCATGTGACATGTCAGCAGTGGGAAGGGCGTGAAGAGAAATTCCCAGACAGGGCCAGGAAAGGGCAGGGGGTACCTGAGGTGGGAGGGCCACAGTGGGACCCTGACCGGGGGAAAGCGGGAGGCCACAGTCTCGGCAGGCCCCTGTTGTCACCGGACTTTATGTCTTTCTAGGCCATGGCTGAGAAGTTCCTGGAAGGTGAGGTGCCCTTGGAAACGTTTCTGGAGAACTTTTCTTCCATGCGGATGCTGTCCCACCTGCGCCGGGTCCGTGTGGAAAAGCTCCAGGAAGTGGTGAGGAAGCCCAGGGCTTCCCAGGAGCTGGCCGGCGATGCCCCTCCGCCCCGCCCGCCACCCCCGCCTCGCCCAGCGCCCCAGGCCACGCTCCCTGTGGCTGAAGAACAGCCGCAGCCGCCATCAGCCGTGCCTCCCTACCCTTTGCCCTACAGCCCGTCCCCCAGCATGCCTGTGGGCCCCACTGCCCAGGGAGCCCTGCCCCCAGCCCCTTTCCCCGTGGTGTCCCAGCCCTCGTTCTACGGTGGGCCCCTGGGCCCCACTTACCCGGCAGCCCAGTCAGGACCCAGGGCTGCTGCGGGCTACTCCTGGTCCCCACAGAGGAGCACGCCATCCCGGGCAGGCTATCCCGGGACCCCACCTGGTGCCCCTGGCCCTGGGTACCCCGTGGCAGGAGGCAAGGCCTCCAGTCCTGGTTATCCTCAGCAGTCCCCGTACCTCCCAGCAGGAGGAAAACCTCCCTACCCAATGCAGCCCCAGCTCCCCAGCTTCCCCGGACAGCCCCAGCCCTCAGTGCCCACTCAGCCCCCCTATCCTCCCGGGCCCGCCCCTCCCTACGGGTTTCCACCGCCTCCAGGGCCTGCCTGGCCCAGGTATTAGACTCGCTCCTGGCCCTTGGTCCCTCCCTCCTCCCACCTGTACTGCAGCCTTTGGGCCACCTGTCACCGAGACTCAAGGGGAAACGAGAAGTGGCACTGGCGCTCCCTGTGGACTTGTGTTGAGACACAGGCCTTGGAGGGACCCAGCTGGGAGCATGTAGGCCCCCAAAAGGCGCTGGGCAGTATGACCAGGTGGGCCGAGGCAGACGGTCACCGCACGTGCTGGCCTTCCGGCTAGAGGTCCTCCTGGGCACTCCTCTCCATGATTGGCTGTAGCATTTCTGGTGCTAGCCAGGCTGGCAGTCCAGTGCCTCTCACGGTGTCTGAGCGTATGCACATGCCTGTGAGCATCTGCTTGTGCCTACACTCAAGGCCGTCCGAACCCCGTGCAGAGTTATCTTGGTGATGAGGTGGCCCCAGATTTCTGGCCCTGCTCATCTCCTCCCTCTCCCCTGGGATTTGGCATATTTGACTTGGGGCCATGCCAAGGGATGCAGCTCTGTGTCTGCCTGGTCCTTCAAAGCTGGTCTGCCCCATGCACCATGGCAAGGATCAGGTTGGAGGGAGAGAACAGAGTTAGGAAAAACAATGATTTTCGAGCCCTATAAAGCCATAATTTAACTCCAATAGCTGATGTCAGGCAAGCTCGTCCTGGGTGCTGTTTGAATGGCAGTGGTGCAGTGCAGGGAGGAGGCTAGGGGTCATGAAGGCTGACCCCAGACCTTGCTTGCGCTGGTTGGGGAACCCCAGGGGCTCCCTTGGGTCCTCTGGCTAGAGGTAAAGAAGTAGCCCTAGCCGGGAGATTGTGGTCACATTGGGATTTTTTAGGAGTAGGGGACCGGGTCACCTCCCCAGCCGCACTCTCTCTCTGGCCCTACACTTCAGGTTGACTTTTCCTGAGGTCCACCCGTCTGTCCAGTTCTTTAGTGCCTTGAATCTCGTTCACAGCAGCCCCCTCCTCCTCTCCCCTCCCCCGGCCTCTTTGATGTAGTTCTCCCCTGCCCCCAGTACCTCTCCTGGGACAGACATCAAGAGATGTCCTAACAGCAGCTTCCCAAATGGTGCTCTCTGAAACACCATCACTACGCTGGGGGCGGTTTCTTTGCACCTCTCTGGTCTTCAGAATGTAAAGGGTGGGGGTTGTGACTCCGTGTCACCGGCAGCCCGAGTGCATTGTGGCGGTTTAGGCATGTCCACTAATGAGGATGACAGCAGTAGACCAAAGGGGGTGTGATAAGTGAAGCATTATAAACTTAATTGTTCCGGGTATGAACCAGGTCTCAGGGCAGAGCCTGGAGCTGCTATTGGTGGGGAAGTCATATGTGCCTTGAAATGTCCACTACCTGAAGACCCAGCATCTGGTGGGCCGGGGCTGCTGGGGCCCAAGGAGGAACTTGTCCTCCTGGTGCCTGCCCCTCCCTGGCCTGCGTGCCATCAGTGGGGCTGTGTGTGATGCTAGGTTAGCGCTGCTGGTTCCTTACCAATTGTGCTTGCTTCCCCTAAGTTATTTATAAAGAGGAATCACTAATGGACTCTGCTGGTTCCAGTGCTTCTGAACTGGATGAACGATCGCCCCATATGTTTGTATAATTAATTGCCATAATAAACTTGGATGAGTTACACGTGGTGTTGTGGCTTTGCTGGGTTTGAAAAGTGAAGATGTGGCTGCGTGCGGGGGCCTTTAGAACCGTGCCCTAACGAAGGACCTCTGAGATCCGTGTCACAAAGCACCATCTGTCGGGACGGCATCCGCCCCTGCTCCTTTTCCCCAGGGCCTGGGTCTTACCGCATTTCCCTTCTCCACTCTTTGGTTTTCTTTTCTTTTTTTTTTTTTGAGACAGAATCTTGCTCTGTCACCCTAGGTAGAGTGTCCTCATAATTCACAGCAACCTCAAACTCCCGGGCTCCAGCGATCCTCCTGCCTCAGCCTCCTGAGTAGCTGAGACTATAGGCACACGCCACCATGCCTGGCTAACTTTTTCTACTTTTTTTTTAGTGGAGACGGGGATCTCACTCGCTCTTGCTCAGGCTGGTCTTGAACTCCTGGCCTCCAGAGATCCTCCCACCTCTGCTTCCCAGAGTGCTAGGATTACAAGGCCTGAGCCACCACAAGGGGCCTGGTTTTCCTTCTTAGCCATTTTCTCGCTGGAGCCTGCATGGCTGTGGCATGCAAGGCCACAGGGTCCCACGAGGGGGCGTCTGGTCCTCAGCCCAGCTTGGAAGGGTCCCGTATTCCCGCCACCTGCTGGCTGGCAGGATGTCTGATTGTCAGGCTGGCCACGACCCATCCATTTTACAATCTGGGATTTCGGGGTGTGGTCAGAGGGGCTGCAGGCCATAAACTGGCTGCAGCACCAGCGGGTCTTCTGCCTCCCTCCCCAGTGTCGCCTTGAGCTCTGCTGCTGAGCTGGATCTCCTGAGGCCCGGGAAGAGGTCTTCAGCTTCAGCAGGAAGGGCAGCTTCAAGGGAGTCGGGAGACTGGGCTTTGAACAGTCTCTCAGCCTTTGTTTCCCCGCACGGTGACAAGGGCAGCCACCCGTGCGTGATACCCAGACTTGTTAATATTGCATACTCGGCAGGGCTGCAGATTGCAGATTGCATTGTGCTTGCTGTGAGCCTTGTCCCCTTGAGTCCTCTCACAGCCCTTCATTCCCAATTTAAATGGGCAGGAGGCCATAGGGCAAGTGCTTCAGTGACCAGGGTGCACAGCCTGGAGCACAGAGGGGAGACTTGGACCTCCCCAGTGGCTGACGGGGGAGGGGTCAGGGGGCTCCTCTGCCCTGCCTCTGTGGTGCCAGAAGTCCGTCCCCAGGACACAGCTGAGGGGCGCCAGGCTCTGGTCAAATGTTTACTGCCCTTTGCCCCTGGCTGAACGCTGGCCTGGCCTTGCAAATGTCCAGGGCTCAGGACACAAGACACCAGGGAGAGCTGGAAGCAACTTGGCTCTGTAGGAAGAAGCTGCAAATCCCACTCTGGGTGCACAGTCAAGTCACTTGCCTTGGGTTGGTGCCAGAGTGGCACTGGGGGCATGGAGGGGCTGGCTGACTCTCTAGGAAAGGAGTGTCCCAAGCTGCCTCAGTGGGTCTCTCAGTGTGTGTTGCCCTGCTGCTCTTTGCTGTCCTTTCTCCAGGCCGCCACGCCTTAGATCACAGCACACACCTCCCTCCCTGCAACCCCAGGACGTCGCTGGGTGGCCTTTACCAGACCACAGTGTTCCTCTTGCTGCAGAGCTGGCTGTGTGGGACAGACGCTAAGTGTCAAGTTTAAATACTCAGATTCCTAGCTTAGAGGATGCTTTGCTGTGCTGGCTGCGGTGAGGCCGTTTGAAATGTCCTTTCAGCTGTTGCGTTGGTTTCGTTCCCTACTCCCAGATCCCTGGGTGCACGGCAGCTCTGAAGCTAGACTTGCTGCCCGATAGTCTAAGCGAGCTTTCCTCTGGGCCCCGGTTGCGGTGACTTGAGGTGCTGGGTTCACACGCAGCTGCCTCCAGGGACTGGCCAGGTCACATCATTTACCTGGGGACATGATTGACTCTAGGGGAGCAGGCAGGGTGTGGGGGACACATGGGTGAACGGGAGGGGGCCGTGCACCTCTCTGCAGGTGGCTGGGGGGCAGGAATCGCAGCAGGGCACCCTGTACGCTGCAGGGGCAGTGGGCTGGTCTGCCACCTGCTAAGTGGTGGCCAAACTATAGATTAAAGAGCTTTCGTCAGGAAGGGCACTGGTGGGAGACGTTTGGTGCCTTGCCTCCTTTGCCTCTTCTAAGAGCAGCCTCTCTGTCCCCTTTTGAGGAATCTCCCCACTCCACCAGGTGGGGGCAGTGAATGGCCTCACTGTTTCCGCATGCTCAGGGCACATGTGTGACCACCTGGGCTCTCAGAATGGTTTGGGGTGCTGGGGTCAGAGTGCCACCAGACTCTCTGGCATGCCGGTGTCCCCTTAAGTCCCCCCCTCCCATATCTGTCTAGTTAACTCCCTTTTGCTCTTCCAGAATTGGCTTCTGGGGCTTGGCCCATTGACATCTGTGGTCCCACAAATTACAGTGCCAGTCACACAGAGAAAGGCCCGGAGTCACCTTGCAGCTTCATCCTGAGGGGCCGCCTGGTGCCCGAAGCCTAAGTGGCCGCGGCACAGCCCCTCCCCATGCCTCTCCTGAGCTTCCTAGTGTCCAACAAAAAGAAGACGTTGAAGCAAAACTGGTAGAGAGTTTGGGCCAAGCTTGAAGTATAAATTCTGTTTTTAAAGGAGAAGAGGCAGTTCCTAAACTGCCAAGAATTTATGTTAAGATGACATAGGTGTTGATTGGATCTACTTTGTATCACAAATTCCAGGAAATCACAGATAACAGGTGAGACAACCAGTCAGGAAGAAAATGCCATTACGCAATTGCTCCGGGGCGCGTGTGTGTGTGTGTGTGTGTGTGTGTCTCCGTGTGTGTGTTTGTGTGTGTGTGTGTGTGTGTGTGTCTGTCTCCCTCCGGCTCTCTCTCTCTCTCTCTCTCTGGGCCTGATAAATTTTGCATATCTCAGACTGGTCTGGGCTATTTTTCTTTTCTCACTAGTCAGATGCCCTCCTCTCACTAATAGTTAGGGAAACTGAGGCACTCGGTTAGAAGGTTAGCTGTGTTGGCTGTAACTTCCTGAAGCTGGGCCTGCTAAAGTGAAATAAAAAACCGAATTGGTCAGGATTTACGAGGTGCCCCCTTGCGCGCGGCCTTGGGGTGGCTCCTGTGCTCTGTGAGTTTGACGGCAGCGGGCCCTGCTCTGGCGTGGGGGGCGGCATCTGTGGGTGCGGGGTGCGGGCAGTCACGGGGGGGGGACGGCGTGGGGCGGGTGAGACTGTGGGGGGGCGGCCAGGGCAACCTGGGGCCCACACGGTCCCCGGCTCGCAGATGCTGTCATTGTGCTTGGGGACGCAGCCCTGACCTTGCCTCCGCAGAGCCCCCCCCTTGGGAGGTTTCCCCAGGGGATCACAGGGGTAGACCAGGACAGAGGAGGCCAGAGCACTCTCAGGAAGTACAAAAAGCATTATTTACAAAGAACATATTAAAAATGCGCGAGCCCAGGTGTGAGCTTCCTTGTCGTTCCTTATCAGGGTCGGAGTCGAGGGAGCTGGGTTCTGCTGGCGCTGCTCCCCCCGCCACAGGGTTGGGAAAGGGACCCCCTTCTGGACACCCCCGAGTCTCTGCCTGGAAGGCTGCTTGGCTCCGGGCTCCGCCCACCCCAGCCTCCTCACTTGGAGTGGCCGGCCGAGCTGTGGGTCGTGGCGGTCCCTGTGGGGCCAGGGCCCAGTGGGGTGTGAGAGCCAGCCTGCCCCTGCAGGGCAGCAGCACCTGTTTGAAAGGCACCCTGGCCTCTGTCCACGTTCTGTCTGGCGTAGAAATTGGGGTGTCATTTCTGAGTGGTGAATGCAGAATTTTCTCAGGATAAATATGTCTGGCTCTTGGTTTTTTGTTCCTGGCTCCCAGTTCTGTGGGGTGAGAAGGAAAGGTGTCAGAGGAAGACACCGGGAGGTTATTCAGGGAGATGGGGCAGGCCCCACGCCCTGGGCTCCAGGTTGGGGACAGTGGCTGTCCTGCGCCAGGGGCTTCTCCATGCTGGTAGGCTGGCGTTGCTGTGGGGTGTTATTCCATCATAGAGCTCGTAGGGGCTCCCGACTGCATGGTCGTGTGAGTGGAGTCTACGAGATGATTTTTGAGGTTCCTCTGCTCTAATTGACAAATCAACTCCCATCACCCACATTGCTCAGGGTCCTCTGTTCATGTTTGTGCAGGTGGGGACAAAGTGAGGCACCCGGTGGCTGGTGCTTATCCCCAGGGCCATGGGACCCCTGGTGCCGGGCATCAGACTGGAGACAGGCTCACCTTTCACAGCCTCTGAGCCCCGTGCAGATCATAGTCGCTGTCGGAGGAGTTGTCGGGCTGGGCGGAGGAGCGATGCAGGGCCCCTTCCAGAGCTGGGAAAGAAAGGAGGCTATTTGCAGGGGGCTCGCAGGGCCTTGTCCCGCCAGGCTACACAGAGCCGCCGCCCACAGTGGGTCGCAAGATCAGAGGGTAGCTCTAAGAGCCAGTGACAGCCTGGTATCTCTTTTGATCAAGTCAGGCAAACGTTCACTAATGATGCTGAACTCTAGGCTCCCTGGGGCCCAGGCCCTTGCAGCCCACTTAATGGCTCTCTTCTGGCTCCGGGAGTCAGAGGGGCCTCATTTACCAGGCTTCTCGGGGCCCTGCAGGGAAGCGGGCCCATTAGGTCACAGCAAGGCTGGGGTTAATGGCGTCTGAGTGCATTCTTCTCTACAGCTGAGGCCTGTGACTGCTGTATATCCATCCCGCCCTGCTGTGACCTGCTGTCTAGCAGGTAGTTTGATCCCCTGTGCCCTGGGGCCTCCCTTCTCTCTTTGGGCCATCACATGACCTTCATGGCATCACGTGACATGTCTTGGCCGGCCTGTTTCAGCTCTGCCTGCCTGCCTGGGAGCTCCGGCTGGCACTTACCTGGATAAGCGGACACGTAGGAGTTCCTGGGAGGCTGGCTGTATTCGTTATCCACGTGGGAGGCTGTGGGGTTCTCAACCTGGGACCGGACGGTGGCCGTGTGGTTGCGGTGGAAAGACACTGAGCGGGTGCAGGAGACAGCGGCATTAGACCTGCTGCTCTGTCCTCTTCCTCCGTCCCCAGCAGGTGCCCAGAACTTTAGAACTTTAATTTCCCATTCCCTTTACATCACATGGGCAAGGGCGAAGGCACCCAGAGCCCCTTTAATACCTCCCCCAACCCTTTCTCCCTGGGGAGGTCCACGCTGGCAGGGCCAGCGGCAGACTCTCAGAGCGGCCTTGGGCAGGCCGGCGATCTGTTGGACGGGGCGGGGCCTTCCATCGGCCAGTGGTTCATCCAGCATTTACCAAGCAGAAGTGACAGGGCACATAGGCTCCCTGCCCTTCAGGAGCTGCGGGCTTTTAGAGTATAAAAAAGATTGAACAACACAGAACCTTTTTTTTTTTTTGAGACAGGGTCTCACTCTGTTGCCTGGGCTAGAGTGCAGTGGTGTCGTCATAGCTCACTGCAGCCTCAAACTCTGGGGCTAAAGCAATTGCCTGGCTAAATTTTAAACTTTTTGTAGAGATGGAGTCTTGCCCTGTTGCTCAGGCTAGTCTCAAATTCCTGGGCTCAAGTGATCCTCCTCCCTGGGCCTCCCTGAGCCACTGCACTCAGCTTGAACTTGTGAAGGGGACAAATGTGGAATGGGTGGCAGGAGGTGGGATATGGCTGTAGCCACTAGGGTGGCTCGGGCAGTGGCCCAGAGAGAGGACGAAGACCAGGGGTGGGGTGGGGCTGGCTGCACCAGAATGTTCTAAAGCTGTCCCTGAGTTGTCCCATGATAAAACTAGCTTGGCAGCCTTTCCTAACGTATCCCTGCGTCGCAGATGAACAACGCAAAAAGGCCCATTGAGGTTCTGATAAGTCCTGAAATAAAGAGCCGTGTTTAGCTTTGCTTTAACTCATGATTTTCCCAATCTGTGTGATCATGGAGTCCTCGTTCATGAGTGCGACCTTTTGACAGCCACTGGCCGCTGTGTTGGGGAATGTGCCGGTGGAGGTGAAGGCCCTTGGGGGCCCCAGAGACAAGGCAAGAGACAGGGGACACATGGTCTCTGAGGCTTCCGTGGTAGAAACCGCCCAGCCATCTGCCCCATCTAGAAGCCTCAGTTTTCCCCGGTGTGGGGACATCTCTTAGCCACAGTCACACCTTAGACGGGGACCGTGGAGATCACAGGCCTCAAGTAGCCACGGGCTTTGTCTGTGGTCAGCAGAGAACCTTGTCTCTGCCTCTGTGGCCTCTATCCTGGGGCCAAGGGAGGCCCTGCCTCTGGGGACACTTACTGTTCTGGTTCATTCCCGTGGGGCCAATCCACTGGCGTTGCTTCCTCTGGCGGACTGGGCAACAGACAGGAAAGGCGTCAGGACAGGTGGGGGCGGGGCGGGGCCCGGGAGGGAGGGAGGAGGTGTGGGCGCTGCTGAGGGCCGGGCCGCTGGGTTCTCAGGGTCTGGAGTTTCTCGGGGCCTCGGTTTTCTTTTTTTTTTTTTGAGACAGAGTCTCACTTTGTTGCCCAGGCTAGAGTGAGTGCCGTGGCATTAGCCTGGCTCACAGCAACCTCAATCTCCGGGGCTCAGCGATCCTCCTGCCTCAGCCTCCCGAGTAGCTGGGACTACAGGCATGCGCCACCATGCCCGGCTAATTTTTTGTATATATATTTTTAGTTGGTCAATTAATTTATTTCTATTTTTGGTAGAGACGGGGTCTCGCTCAGGCTGGTTTCGAACTCCTGACCTTGAGCAATCCGTCCGCCTCGGCCTCCCAAAGTGCTAGGTTTACAGGCGTGAGCCACCACGCCCGGCCAGGGGCCTCAGTTTTCTAACTTGCCCAGGAGGGGAACCGAGCTGCGGAGGGCGCAGAGGTGGCTGGTTCCCCTGGAGAATCAGCCACAGGTGTTTAGAACCAGACCTGGGCAGGCGCTGAGGGCAGCCCTGCCCGCTCTGGGCTTTCTGTCCCCAGCCTCTCTGAGCTCACTTCCTTGTCTCTGAGTGATTGTCTCCCGAGTTCTGCAAGGCGGGGACAACCTCTGCCTTCGCAAGCTGCACAGCTGCCGGTTTGGTAGACGAGGACACAGGCTCAGAGAGAGGAAGTGGCCCCGTCAGCATGCTGGCAGCTGGCAAGTGGTGGGGCCGGGCCTGGGACGTCTGCTGCCGTCAGAGGCCCTGCTGATGACACCGTGGGCCGCCTCCGCAGCCTAGGGCATGGCCACACCCTCTCTCTGGCCTGGAGGAGATCTCACTGGGCTGCAGACATGGGCAAATCAGTGATTATGACTTCCCTGACTTCCTGTGACTTTGGGCAGGAAAAGGCCAATGGGGAGGGGGCATCTGGGGGTTGCAGCAGAGGTGCCCTCGGCCCAGCCCTCTCGAAGCGGGACCCCCCTCCCAGGGTTCCTGCGCAGCCCCTCATCTCCGCATGTGGGCACAGAGCCACGAGGGGCACGGGCACCTACATTTCTTCACCACCTTCTTGTAGGCCAGGGGACCGAACACCACCAGCAGCACCGCCAGGAGCAGCAGGGCCAGGATGACGCTCGCCACGGTGCCGGCTGCCGGGCCCCTCGGGTTTGGATCCTGGCCTGGGGGAGGGGAGGATCCGGGTCAGTTCTAGCCCTGGGGGATGGAAACTGCCCACCCCAGGGAAGCTGCTGGCTGCCCTCACCCACCCTCGCTCTTTCTGGGAGCTCCCCAAGCCTGTGTTTAAGGCAGTTACCTGTCTGGCTGTCCCTCCGTTGCTAGAAGTCTCTGCTACCCATTCATCCATCCACCATTTATCATCTAACAATTGATCCTCCAGCTGTCATTTGCCACCCTCGTTATAAACTAACTCTACCATTTGCCATCAATACAAGTATACGATTGTGTGCCGGTGGCTGGGTAGCCCTCTCTTTATCCGTCTGTCCATCCATCTCTCTTTTATCTGTGTTCAGTTACCATTCATGCGGCGAATACATACCGTCTACCCTTGATTTTCTACCTTCCATCCTGGAACGTGGAAGGGAGAAGGGAGAGCTCTGCCACCCGTCAGCTGCCCTGTCTGTTGCTGTGCCCGCTCCTTAACCGTTCATGTTCATTGCTGTCTGCTTCTTGCTCCCAGTTCCCCACGTTCCCTCTCTCCCTCCTTCTCTGGGGCTCTCTAGCTCCTGGGGCTATCCTTGAGAGACATGCACCCTGACCGGTCCTAGCAGGGAAGTTCAGAACTGCCCTCCACCCACCGTGGGCCGGGGCCAACTCACATGCAACAAACACCCTCTTGCAGTAGGATTTTTTCTCCCAAAGCTCATGGCACTGGGACAGCTTCTCCTGGGAACAGGAAAATCCCTGGGAGGTCGTCTTGCCGGAGTCCAGCACGTGATAGGAGTTGACACTGCCACACTGCTGCTCCTGGCACACCTCCTCCCACCGCGCCGTGCCCTTGGCCGGGGAGCTGTCGCACAGGGCTGCCCACTGCGTGCCCTGGCGCACCTCCACGCTGCCTTCACACACGCTGCTGCCCCCCACCAGGCGGCTCTGCACCTTGGGCTGGAAATCTGGGAGGGGAAGCAGTGGGAGGTGAGGGAGCAGGTATGGCCCTGAGCCTGAGTGCTGGTCCCTGTGGCCCCATGCCCCCTGCGAAGGAGGGCCCTGACGGGTGGGGACACTGTGGGACCACCGGGACAGGCCGCCTTCCTCTCTGCCCTTCCCTCCTTCCCCGGACCAAGCTCTGCCCCTGGTGCCTCTGGCAGCTGCTGGCACCATCCTGACATGCAGCCACACAGGCACTTTCTGTCCAGAGGCTGGCAGTGTGGCAATGCCTGTTGGCAGCCACCAGCAGGGAGCTGGCCCCGTGCCAGGTGGGGCAAGTGACAAGTGTGGGAATGGGCTCCACCTGGGCCCGCTTCCCTCTTGGCACTGTCCGCTCATTCTCCTGCTGCACCTTGGCAAGAAGGAGGGATTTTCAGAAGAGGGAAACTGAGGCTCAGGGAAGGGGAAGACCTCCTGCTCTGAGTCCTGGTGGTTCAGAGTGGGACAGAACCGGGGAAGCCTGCTGCCCAGGCCATGCACCCTGAGGGCCAGGCTTTCAGCACGCCGGGCCTGGCCCCCCAGAGACTCACGTTCGTTTCTGCTTGCCAGGCGCTGGGAGTCCAGAGCTGGGGCCCACGCAAGCTCAGTTTAGAGCGAGCTGTGATCTCACCAGCTTTGGCCAGTTTCCATAGCAACACCCACCTTCAAAGCCCTATCGAACCTATTTAGAAGCAGCTTCAAAGGCAAGAACCCTGGGTATGGTTTTGCCCGTGTAGCCTGCGGGAGGGATCCTAGCAGAGGGTGAGTGGGGCTGAGAGCCACCCCCTACTCTCCTCGTTGGGCTAGGGGACCCTCGGGGGCTGCCTGTGCCCGGAGGGGGCAGCAGTTCCCTAATTTGCACCATGTACCCAGTGGTTTAGGGCTGTCCTGCTTGCAGGATCCAAGGAGCCCAGCGCAGTGCCGCCCAGATCTGTGCACTCGAGTCACTGGGGGCCTTGCTGAAATGTGGATTCTGACTCGCAACGTCTGGGGCGAGGCCTGAGAGGCTGCATTTCTGACCAGCTCCCAGGTGCCACTGTGGGTCCAGCACCGCGCTGTGCATAGCCGAGGCTCAGACGACGGGCTCCGGAGTGACACCGCTTGAGCAGAAATCCCAGCTAGTGCTCTAGGCTACTGGGCAAGACGTTTGACCTCTCTGAGCCTCAGCTTCATCATCTGCAAAAAGGGGTAACAATAACACCCACCTCCTAAGGTCACTGTGAAAATGCGTTAATTAAAATGCCCTGGAATGGTCCGTGGCATGAAGCAAGCTCCGGGGAAGTACAGTGTGGCCTTCCCCGGAACACTCCCGGGATGGGACCCGCTGCCTCTGGACCTGGTTCCTGACTGGCCTTCCTTGTTTTAAGCTGTGGTCACTTCCCTTTAATTTCCCCCATCGGTCCTGGGTTGGCCCCCTGGGGTCTCACAGACTCAGTCTCAGCTGCCTCCTCCCCTCGGCCTCACCATCACTATTCTCTCACCTGTCGCCGTGGCTCTGGGCCCTCTGCAGAGAGCCCTCCCAGGCTCCGACCCCCAGGCCTCAGGGGCCTCCCACCTCTCACCATCTCTGCATCCTCAACTCGCAGGATCTACCCACGCCCCTCCCGCAAGGCCCGCCCCCAAGTGCTCTGTGTTTGGCACAAGCCACAATTCCTGCCTACAAACCCTTCTCCCTTTTCCTCCCCAAACCCACAAGGAGACCTTGCCTTCTGCTGGAGTCCTGCTGCCTCCACTTCCCCATGTGGCAGCTGAGCCAGCGGTTCCTTTGGCTTTGATCGGTGTTGCTTTGTGGAGACTCCCAGGTCACTGAGTGTGTGTGTGCCCTCCCCTCGCCACCCCGTCCCACCTCTTAGAGGCCAAGGATCAGGCCTCAACCTCCCTCGTGTTCTCCACGGTGCCGGGCACCCTGCGCTGCAGGCGGGGTTTGCAGGGCATGTGTGTCCCCCGGCCTTGCGGGGGTGCTCCGGCTGCGGCCATCCCAGAGCAGCAGGAGGTGCGGGGGCTGGGCCGGGCCTCACTCACCGGAGCAGACGATCGCGAGAGCTTGGCCGCCCTCCTGGGGCTGGACTTTCCTGAAGCACTGTTCCAGGGAGGCACAGCTCGAGTTCTGGATCTTCCACCGAATCGGCAAGCGCCCGTGTTCCCGGAGCTCTCCTAGGTCAGGTGCTCTGGTGGCCTTGGCCTCTGGCAGGTGCTTCAAGAAGGAACCGCAGTGGAGGGCCGGGCACAGGAGCCCTCCCAGGCTCTGGATGCTGTCCTGGGCCTCGTAGGCGATGGTGCCCCCCAGGCTGCCGCTGTAGAACTCCACCACGCCGGCACAGCGCAGGCCCCGGGGCCCTGCCACCAGCTGCAGCCTGGGAGGAGCTGGGCGAGGAGAGGACAGGGCCGGGAGCCAGCCTGAGTGCCGGCGTCTGCGGCACGCTCACGGCATCTGCTCTCTGGCCCCAGCCCACTGACAAATGCCGACTGACGGCTGGCCTTGGGGGTAAGGTCCCTAATATTGCATATGACACGCTTATACTGGAAATTCCCACATTTCACAGAAATTCAAATGGAACCAGGCATCCTGGGTTTTCATTTGCTAACTCTGACCCCATGAAGGTCAGAACCCTCTTACCTGTGGGCTCTGGCGTCGTTATGGGCGGGGGGCTTGTGGGCGGAGGTGTGGTCGTCTTGGGCTCTGCAATGACATGATGAAGGTGACTCTGGGAGAGGGAATGGCGGGAGGACAGAGGAGGGAGGAAGGGGATGTGGCCGGGGGTGGGTGAGGGAGTTGGGGGCAGCCGGCCGTGCTGAGACAGACCAGGTGCTCTCGACGTAAGTACCACTTGCCACTTTAAGTCCACCTGGTCCACACATTGTCTCTAAGCCTCCTGTGAGGTGGGCAGTACCACCCACTTTACAGATGGGACAATGGAGGTTCAGAGAGGGGACACTGAAGTTAGCAACTGGCAGAACCAGGTCCTCCTTTTCCGTCCTACCAGACAGGTGCCGGTCCCTGCAGTCCCTCGACCAGTGTATGTGTCTTGGGGGCTGCTGGTTACAACCAGGGACCCTTCACCACTTCCACCAGCCTGCTCAGGCACCAGATGCGGGCCCGGGGCCGGCTCCTCGGGGCTGGTGCCCAGGCCAGGGTGCCGTGTGGCTGGCTGGCTACCCACCTAAGCAGATGAGGCTCAGAGGTTGGCACCGGCTTTCCGAACTGCAGTTGGAGAAGGACCCCACATGCCCTCGGCAGACGATGTGGTTCTGGGCTCTGCTGAAGTGCGGCAAGGGGCCCAGGTTCAAGGCCTCCCCACAGCGCAGCTTCTGGCAGACTTTCGAGGCCTGGCGGGCGTCCTCCCGGCGGTCTGGGCTCCGGCCCCAGCTCTGGCTGCAAACCGTGTGCCACCGGCTCCTGAACTGGACTTCCAGCAGGCCCTGGCACCGCGAGTTGGAGCCGGTTAGCCTCCCCTGGAAATCTGAGGGTCAGAGAGGGGTTCAGGCTGGGTAGGGCTGTCCACGGTGGCCCCCCACAGCTCGGCGAAGTCCCCTCCTGCCCCCTGGCTGCCTTGTGAGCTCCATCTCCTCTGGCCCTGCAGGCACTTTCCAGAAGCCCAGGCTGGCGAGGTCCTGGCCCAGGCGGCCCTTAGCTGCACCCAGGAGGGTGGGGCTCCAGCTGTCAGAGCCGGAGGGAGCTCGGAGCAGGGGGCAAGGTGTTCTCAGCACCAACCATCCAGCAGAATCACCCACTCCTGGAATTCTGTCTCAGTAGGTCTGGGATAGGGCCTGATGTCTTTTTTTTGAACTTTTGAAATCAATTTTATTGAGATACAATTTCCATACAGTGCAATGAACTCACATGAAGGGTACCCGTTCAGTGGAATTTGACAAATGCACGGAACCACCACTATAATCCAGATATGGAACATTTCCACCACCTATTTAATACCGTGTTTCCCCGAAAATAAGGCCTACCCATAAAATAAGCCCTAGCAGGATTTCTCAGCATTTGCACAATAGAAGCCCTGCCCCGAAAATAAGACCTAGTGATGGGCGTGGCTATGTAGTGAGTCTGCACAACCCATGCATTTTGTCACAGAGCGGTAAAGAAGACGAGCAGCCCTTCTCAGCTGCCCCATGAGAGCTCTATTGCTCGACAGGAGAGATGGGGGCCAATGGTTCTAAAGGAAATAGAGTTGTAAGAAATTCAGGATGGAATTCGGGATTTGGAGAGTTATTATGATGTTCCAGAAGAAGACGACTTAACTATATTTGAATAAATGCAGATTGTTGCTCCGTACTTAAAAAAAAAATAACACATCCCCTGAAAATAAGCCCTAGGGTGTCTTTTTTGTGTTGTTTTTTGAGACAGAGTCTCGCTTTGTTGCCCAGGCTAGAGTGAGTACCGTGGCGTCAGCCTAGCTCCCAGCAACCTCAAACTCCTGGGTTCAAGCGATCCTCCTGCCTCAGCCTCCCGAGTGGCTGGGACTACAGGCATGTGCCACCATGCCCCACTAATTTTTTCTATATATATTAGTTGGCCAATTAATTCCTTTCTATTTATAGTAGAGACGGGGTATCGCTCTTGCTCAGGCTGGTTTCGAACTCCTGACCTCGAGCAATCCGCCCACCTCAGCCTTCCAGAGTGCTAGGATTACAGGCGTGAGCCACCGCGCCTGGCCTAGGGTGTCTTCTTGAGGAAAAATAAATATAAGACCCTGTCTTATTTTTGGGGAAACACAGTAGAAAGTTCTCTCCTGCCCCTTTACAGTTAATTTCCCTGAATGCACCTCAGGCAACTGCTGATCTGCTTTCTGTCACCAGAGATTAGTTTTGCCTACTCTGCAATGTCATATGAATGGAACCATATAGCATGTTTTTTTTTTTTTTTTGGTTTGACTTCTTTCACTCAGCATGTATTGGAGATTTATCCATGTTGCTGCATGTACAAGGGATTCATTCTTTTTTACTGTTAGATATTTTATTGTATGGATACGCCACAATTGTTTTCCATTCACCATTTGGTTTGTTTTCAGGTTTTTTTGACTACTATATAAATAAAGCTGCCGTGAACATTCATACGCAGTCTCTGTGTGGGCACTCGTTTCCATTGCTCTTGGGTAGATACCTAGGACTGGAATCGCTGGGTCATAGGCAGGTATGTGGCTTTTGCGATTTTATAAAACTTCAGGAGGGGAAAATATTCGTACATATGTGTGCGCTCGTATTTGCATAAAGAGCTTTTGGAAGAATACGCAGGGCACAAATAAAAGTGGTCATTACCTGGGGTTTTGGGGTGGGCGGGACAGATGGGCTACAGAGATGGAAGTGAGACTCTTCACTTTAGATCATTTTATATTTTTAAATTTTTGAGCCAGATGAATGTGCCACCTATAGAAGAATTTTTAAATTGGCTCTTCCTTACCTGGGTCGTCCCAGCTGGGCCCTCCAAGGCAGGAAGTGACTGCAGAAAGGAGAGACAAAGTCAGGAAGTGAAGCCTCCCACCCTGTCCCTTCTCCCCGGCTCACCCGCAGCCTGAGCAATGGCCCCTTCTGCCTTCCCCACGCCACTGTCACGGGGTTCGGGGCAGGGATCTCCATGCTACACCTTGGAACTCCTAAGTGATCATGAATTCAATTTAGTGGGTTGCAACTATCAATTTGTTTTTCCTTTTAAAAAAAATTTACTTTTTAAATGAACACTCAGTGAAATTGATTTTTGTTTAGTGCACAATTCTACAAATGTTAACAGGTATATACGTGCGTGTGACCACTGTCACCATCAAGGTGACACGAGTTCCATCACCCGCCCCCAGATTTCCTCATGCTGTCCCTTTGGTATCCCTTTGTAGTAATGCAACCATCAATTTCTTTCTTTCTTTCTTTTTTTTTTTTTTGAGACAGAGTCTACGCTTTGTTGCCCGAAGCTAGAGTGCAGTGCCGTGGCGTCAAGCCTACGCTCACAACAACCTGTCAATCTCCTGGGTTCAAGCAATCCCTGCTGCCGTCAGCCTCCTGAGTAGCTGGACTAACAGGCCACCATGCCCGGCTACAATTTTTCTATATATATATTAGTTTGGCCCAATTAATTTCTTCTATTTAATGGTAACGACGGCGTCTCATCCTTGCTCAGCGGTTTCCGAACCTCCCTGACTGGAGCATCCGCACCGCCTTGGCTCTCCCAGAGTGCTAGGATCTACCAGGCACTGACCACCGCCCGCCGCACACCCTGCAATTTCTTAACAAACGAAATGGACTAGAAAGAAGAATGGGCAGGATGGCACCCGTCGCTTTGCAGGGTAGCGACACGTTTGTGCCACTGGGGGTTGCAATGTAAAACTGTCCTTCTCGTTGCTTTCAAAGAAGTTTGAACTCCATAGTTCTAGAGAACTGAGAAATAACCAGAGGGGGAACTGAAGACAACATTTGCTACTTTCCAGTAACAGCTCCCAGTTTCTGGAGAAGACCACAGCTCAAAGAGATGAAGGGACCCGCCCACCGCAGCAAGCTCGCGTGGCCTGAGAGCCCACCCTCTGTGCCCACCAGCTGCAGCAGTTATGGCGCAGGGGCAGTATTTTGGTTTCCATCTGTCTCACTCCTGGGCTTCCTGCTCGGAGGGCAGCTGGGAACAGCACTGGGCCAGGGAGACTACTTTATACGGTGAAAAGCTCTTCAGATTGCCTGTGAGATATTGTTGCTGGGCATTAAAAAATAGGTGTGTTTAGCCGGGCACAGTGTTGCACACCTGTAGTCCCAGCTACTCAGGAGGCAGAGACAGTGGGATTGCTTCAGCTTAGGAGTTCGAATCCAGCCTGGGCAACACAGTGAGACCTTGTCTCTTAAAAAAATAAATAAATAAGAGTGTTTAAAAACAAAAGGCTGGGGCCGGGCGTGGTGGCTCACGCCTGTAATCCTAGCACTTTGGGAGGCCGAGGCGGGCGGATTGCTCAAGGTCAGGAGTTCGAAACTCCAGCCTGAGCGAGACCCCGTCTCTACCAAAAATAGAAATAAATTAATTGACCAACTAAAAATATATATACAAAAAATTAGCCGGGCATGGTTGCGCATGCCTGTAGTCCCAGCTACTCGGGAGGCTGAGGCGGTAGGATCGCTGAGCCCCGGAGATTGAGGTTGCTGTGAGCCAGGCTGATGCCACGGCACTCACTCTAGCCTGGGCAACAAAGTGAGACTCTGTCTCAAAAAAAAAAAAAAAAAAACAAAAGGCTGTTCTTGCTTGAGTGTTCTGAAGCTGGTGGTAGAATTTTAAGGGGTGATATGCCCCCACCAGCCCATCCTCCTCCCAGAGCCAGCAAGACTCCTCGTAATGAAGTCACTGTGGTCCCATGATAAGTTCCCCCATCTTTGCAAGATCCCATCATGGTTGCTCTAGGAGTCATGGGCCTCAGAAGATTATTCTCACAAACAGGGAGTGTCAGGCCGGGGCAGAGGCCAGAGCTCTGGCCTGAGTGGAAAGGGATGGTCCAGCTGTCAATCATCTGATCTATGGCAGCCTCAGGAGGACATGGGGCAGACGCCCAGCCATCGTGGTCAGAGAGGAAGCAGGAGGCCCTTTGCCCTGTCCTCACCTCTCACCCTTGACCTCCCACTCCCACTTCCCTCTGGTCCCAGCTTCCCATAGAGACCAGAGCAGTCTACCTTTAGGGAGTCATTCCTTTGGCTAGGTCATGAGGGCTGAGGCAGCTTGGAGTGGCGCCTGTGGGGAGAGGGACCCCGAAGATCTGCCCGCCGGGGCTGTCCGGCACTGGACAGGCAGTCACTGGTAACTTTCTACCACTCTGAGACTGAGTGTCAGTTTTGCCACTTCCTGCCTGTGGGGCCCAGGGAGAGAGTCTCCCGGCCCCCCCGAGCCCCGTTTTCCTCATTCATAGCATGGGGATCAGACTAGGAGCAGCTTTCCAGCCATGCGAGGATGCGACGAAGTAATCTATGCAAAGCCCAGCGCTTTCCTGGCCGGCGTTCAGCGCTCAGAGCTGGTGTTACTGGCCCGTGACGAGCGCTGGGCCTGGGGGGCCCTCGGGGCTTTCCCAGCGGGAGGATTCCCAGTCCAGAAGCAGAGAGCCGGGCCACGGGGCTCACCACTTGCCTTTCCCACAGATAGTCCCCGACTTACGATAGTTCAACTTAGGATTTTCCAACTTTACAATTGGTCTATGGGGCCAATGAATTCAATGAATTTTTGACTTATGATCATATTTTAAACTCACTATAGGTTTATCGGGCACTAAACCCATTGTAAGTCCAGGAGCATCTGTATTCCACAAGTCATCACAGTCAACCTTCATTATTAGCAGTAGCTACCAATTATTGAGCACCCACTGTGTACTTGGTACTCGACATGGTTCATCACAGATAATATTGTTAATCTTCCACACGGCCTCCCGACGTGAGTTGAGTGCGTTCGTGGTATAAACACACTCAAGGGCAAGTGTCCTGTCTGGGGTGATATGACCTGCAAGTGGCAGGACCTGGATTCAAACCACGAGTCTGACTTCAAAACCCAAACTCTCTGCTCTCGGCCACCCAGTTGCTCCTCCAAAGTGCCAAGTTTGGAGACACAGAGATGAACGCGACCCAGACCCCCTGGGGGCAGGGATTGGCCTGACTGTCCTTGCAGGTCCTACATGGGACAGCCCAGGTGGTGCCCAGGAAAGACAGAACAAGCTGGAGAAATTCTAAAACACTGAAATTCTAGAAAAGAAAATGCCGTGTTGAGAGAAGGTGTCTATGCATTCCAGGGCGAGGCCTCCCTCCGAGCGCCTGTCTGGTCCTCACATGAGCAGCGTTTCCTCCCCTCCCCCCCCGTGACCATCATCATCACCATCGTCACCACTTTTACAGCTTTCACTCTTCCAGGCCTTTTTACACATTGACTCTCTCAGTCCTCACCCCAGCGCTATGAAGCAGGTATTATTATTTTGGTCCCGAGTTTATAGATGAGGACACTGAGAGAGGTTAAATGACTTGTCCAGGCGGCTACTGAGCGCTGGGGCCGGGACTCTGAGCTGCCCGCCTGGCACCGAGTCTGCGCTTTTGCCCGCCTGGCCAGGCTGCCTCCCTGCCCTTCCATGGGGAGCCCTCGGCGTCCTGCCCCGTGTCTCACCGATCCCCGCATGTCCCTGGTGTGTAACTCTGACCAGAGGGAGTGAACCTGGGGTTCTGTTCAGTCAGTTAAACATGCTGGGGGAAGACTTAGCCGTGAACTTGCTGTGTGATCTTGGCAAGTCACTCAACCTTTCTGGGCTTGGTTTCCTCGTCTGTAAAGTAAGGAAGTTAGATTCCTCTATCCCTCACCTTCCCCTTGAATCAAATTTTAAAAACTATGCAGAACAAATGAAGCTTGGTTCTGTGGTCTGTCATCTTGAGTTCCTGATGTATCTCAGCAGCTGGTGGGGGGCGAGCAGAGGAGGACAGACATCGGGTCTCTGTTCTTTCTACCTGTCCATGAGCACGGTCATGTTTTGGTGGGCCACAACCTATTTTCATTCTTTCAGCTGCTTCTCAAAGGGCTCAGACTCACACTCTCCTTCCCCTGAACCCTGCAGACTGTACCAGGGGCTCCCTGACGCCCTATATGGCTACAGCTCACCCCTGCCCTGGGCTTCCTGGAACCCCGCAGCCTGAGGCCCAGTGCTCTGCGGCCGCCAGATCTGTGAGCAGAAGCCTGGGACTGCGGGACCACGAGGCTGGAAGCATCGTGCCATTTCCTCATCTGCCATCGCACCTAGACCCCGAGCAGCTGGGGCTGGGAATGAAAATTCTCTGGGGGCACCTTCTTCCCCTGCCAGCGTCCCCTTGGAACTCCCACAATTTAGGGCTTGGACTGGGCAGGCCTGGACAAAACCCAGGGCCAAAAATGCCAAAGAGGCTGGGCTCAGCAGCTCACGCCTGTAATCCCAGTACTTTGGGAGGCCGAGGTGGGAAGATCGCTTGAGGCCAGGAGTTCGAGACCAGCCTGGCCAACATGGTGAAACCTCATATCTACAAAAAAATTAAAAAATTAACTGGGTGTGGTGGTGCACAACTGTGGTCCCAGCTACTTGGGAGGCCGAGACAAGAGGATCACTTGAGGCCAGGAGTTTGAGGTTATAGTGAGCTATAATTGTACCACCGCATTCTAGCTGGGGTAACAGAGCAAGAACCTGGCTCAAAAAAAAAAAAAAATCATATAAAATAAAAAAGCCAGAGAGAGTTGGAAGGCTTTTAATTACTGTCCTCAAGCCCCAGCTGCTTTGACCCTGCTGGCCCTGGGGTCTTGGTGAGGATTAGCTGAGTTCCTGAAAGCAGCTCCGAGACCCTTAAAGCCTCATCCCCTACCTCCCCCTCCTCTCGGCCCACAGTATTCGGGAAGAACCTCACTGTGGCCCTTAGTTTGCCATCCCATGTGCCGCATTCCACCACGTGTGAGTTTTGTCTGCTCTACACAGTGTTCAAAAATTTTTGAGC